GCGGGGGGCGCAGGGCGGGGGCCGGCACCGGCGGGGGGCAGCGGGGAGGCCGCGCCGGACGGTAACGGAGGGGGAGGGGACCCCTTGTTGGGGTCCTGGGGGAGACTGGGGGGCCTTGGGACTCTCAGGGGGGCCCTGGGACTCTCAGGGGGACCTTGGGACGCTCAGGGAGGGGCTGGGGTAGCCCCTGGAGGGGAGATTGGGGGTCCCTTGGGGTTACTGGGGGTCCTGGGAGGGAATTGGGGGCCCTGGAGGGGGGCGGGATTGGGGATCCCTGAAGGGGGGTGGGTTCCCCTCGTTGAGGGTTGGGGGCTTGGGGACTCCCCAGTGAGCACTGGGAGCGCTGGGGGACAATGGGAGGAACTGGGGAACACTGGGAGGGACACTGGGAGACACTGGGGGGCTCTGGGAACACTGGGGGACTCTGGGAGGAACTGGGGGGCACTGGGGGCTGAGCCCTGGGGGTGTCTCATTCCCCCTTTTCCCAACTATCCCTGAGTTTTTTCCCTTGGGAGAGGCCGAAGGGCGGCACTTGGAATTCCAGCCATGGATTTGGGATGTCTGGGATCCCCCCTGACTCCAGAGACATTCCCAGCCTGCCCTGGGAGAGAGCTGGGAGAACAAATCCCTGTCCCCTCCTTTCCCTGTCAAATTCCACCTGGGAATGTTCCCCTGACTCCTGGATTTGTGTGTGCTAATTGGTCTCGTTGTTAATGAAGGGAAACTGGGGAATGGGGAGCTCTGGAGAAGATCCCTGCCAGGACAGCCCTGAGGGATGAGGGGCTGGGAATTCCTTGTGTTCTGGATCCCTCTTCTTGAGGAATTTTCCCGGGATTTTCCCCGTGTTCCCCCTCAGGAAGGACACGTCCGAGCTGTCCGAGTCAGCTGACGGCTCTTCCCACGTGGAGGGGAATTCCTTGGAATCTGCCAGCAGGGAAGCCTATTTCAGCAGGGTGGAAACCTTCACCATATCCTTTGGGATGCTCCCCCTTGGAATGCCCCACAGGGATCAAACCCGGCCCCTGCCCCTACCCAGGACATCCCCAAATCCCTGGGAGCGTTTCCAAACATTCCTGGAGCTCCTGGGGCCGTGACCATTCCCTGGGGAGCTGTTCCTCTTTCCCTGAAATCCAGCTCACCCCCCCTGGCACAGCTCCAGCATTCCTGGGATCTCCCAGGGAGCAGGGATTGGTGCTCCCTGCACTGCCCTTCCTCAGGGATCTCCTCCAAGCTCTTCCCTTCTTCCTGGAAGTTTTTTTGTTCCCAAGGAAACTGGAATTTTTTTGGGATTCCCCCCCGGCACAGCTCCAGCCATTCCCTGGGATCCTGCTCTGTCCCTTCATTTCCCTTCCCGAGGAATCCCCTTGGGGCTCTTCCCCCCTTCCTGGAAGCTTCTTTTCTCCCATATAAATGGGATTTTTTTGGGATCCCCCCGGCACAGTTCCCACCGCTCCCTGGGATCCCGCCCCTTGCTCCCTTTCCCTTCCTGAGGAATGCCTGGGTCTGTCCTGATGCTGGGATGGGGTTGGGATGGGGGTTGGGATGGGTGTTGGTGTTGGTATGGGTACTGGGATGGGTGCTGGGATGGGTGTTGGTGCTGGGATGGCTGTTAGGATGGGTGTTGGTGTTGGGCTGGGTGCTGGGGTGGCTGGGCTGGGTGTTGGGGTGGGTGTTGGTGTT